TATACGAATGGGAAAAGGCGAAGGGCATCGGACCCGAGGCGTCAACATTCGCACTTCTGGATCCAGGTTACAGGCCGAACGGTAACCATAATGATGTACCACTAACGCTCCGTGATATCACGAAGGCCTAGTCTCATACAGACTGAGCCAATTAAAACGCAATATTTCAATCACGTACTACGATATAAAATGATACCAGAAGCAGATCCACCCCCGTATAATAGACTCTGCCAACCCCCCGTGACGCTAGGGCCAAGTTCATTCTGTTTGCTAGGCCGCTGCTCATACCAGTTCTGAAAACGCTGTGCAAGTATGAATATGGTGTATTTAGAAGCAGAACGTGTGTTCATTCACGAAAAACTACTTTGAATCAAAATCGTTTGCTGCTATTCGTGAAGTATTTATTAATACTTATATTGACAATAAATACAAAACAATAATAAATACGCTGGCTATTAACGTGTCGGGACACAAGAGGTGCTTTCGACAGGAAATAAGTCCGGCGTCGGACATTTTTGACAGGTGACAGCTGTTCGGTAAGCAATTCCTTGCGAATAAAAGTGAAAAAGAGTTGTACTGATGTCACCTTCGCTTTGCGTTTTAAATGTCACACTCTGTAACTCATTAGTAACATATTCTTAAGTTATATAGCAAAGTAAAGTAAAGTTTGTCCCACTATACGCCATGTAGGCGTTTGGGGTGAGTGGAGGTATAGCTCCTCTCTTCCTTGACCTCGGCACTAGATGGGGGTGAGTGGTCGGCATCACGCCCCGGTCGGCTTTACCCCCGGGAAAGGACCCCGGTACCCATTGTAGAGGAGGCTGGGTGGGCCCCAGAGCTGGTCTGGACGCAGAGGCTAGAGGAAAAATCCTCTGCCCCCGTCGGGGATCGAGCCCCGGTCGTCCAGCCCGTAGCTAGTCACTATACTCACCGAGCTATCCCGGCTCATTAAGTTATATAGCACCGAGTTTTAAAATGGCAGTTTGTCGAAAAGCTTTATAATATATCTGAGTGGTTAGCACCTGTACTCTGTCCTATAGTAAAATTTCGAAAATTTGTGAGGGGGCTTGCTGTAAGAAAAAAATTGAGGAAAACTGAATTGGACGCACGCATCTTGCAGGTGGGTCTGACAATGGAGATGGCGGTCTGCTGTCGCGCTCCAAGTCTGCAAGCAGTGTTACCAACCTCGGGGCCGGAGTGACTAACGTTGGGACATCGAGTTTGTCTCTCAACGACGTCGAAGCATTGGAACAGGCTGAAGTGGCAACAATGGAAGGTAAGTCGAAATTCTTGACGACGGAAAGAGCTGCTCGAAGCAACTTTAATAGGCGGGCCATACAAAGAGGATGGCAAACATTTTTTTGTCTAAGTTTTGAGATTCTCACGGCGGAGAGGAAGAAGATGGCTGGCTTCTAGGTTGTCACATCTTGTAGTCTGGTAAAAGTTTACCGATTTTTCAGATATGCTTGCTGTCCCTATCATCAGGGTGATCGCCGTACTAGACTACATGGCGTAACACCCCAGAAGGCAGCCATCTTCTAAATCTATTCTTTCCACGTGGTGGAGATAGTAATGTCCTCGGAAACGTCTATCAATATCTACCAAAGTAGACGGTGTAACAGCTCACATAGACATCTTCATACTCGTCGCAGTAAAAACCCGAAATCTGACCTAGGGGTCATTTCCGCTTGTGATGTGGATATAATCGGGCTAATTCCATTAGTTCGCCCCGACATTATTTTGCGGGTGGGTGGGGAAGGTAAAGAGTAGTTCTGGAGATCGATTTTAGCAGTGAGAATCGAGAACGTCAGCGAACCTACCACCGTAAGAGCACAGGATTTACTGAACATTTGCTTAATATAATCTTATGCTCATCTCTTTTTGTTTTCAGAATAGTTTTAATTAAGTGTGCCAGCCGTTGTCATTTATATTGTAACTTTGCCAAAAAATGCATTAAGTTTATGGGTAATAGCGATTGCTGTCTGATCATAAATAATTGATTGACAGTCGTAATGCGTAGTACTTTCTTGGAATATGATACAGGATTACTAAATAATATTTGGATTAGCTTCGCAATGTAATCGATTATGAATTTCAGGGTCCACGAGAACAAAATTGGTATTCTAAATGTTTCACAACATCATTCTACTGTTGGATCAGCGTCAGTTAATAACAACAGATCAGAGTATGTAAACATTGTGTTCTATAATTAGCACTCGTAAAAGCACCATATAGTATACAGCATTTGAAATCTATAAATATTTCCCTTATTATTTGAGCGTCGCTTTCATTAAGTGTAAATATTACATTGACATAAGCCTATTTTTAGCATGTTCTTCGAATTGTTAGGTCCATTATAGGTGTCTATTGATCTAGCACACAACAACGTACTGAGTAGCTGTGTTGCCTATTTCCGTGTTCTGAAAAACAAAGAACGTCATTTGTACCAATGATTAACACAAATCAGTTATCTTTTATTGGTTAATTTTTTCTTCTGTTTTCGTTAAAACTGAAGAGGCTGCAACTTCAAAATAATTATTGTACATAATTAGAACTCACTAAATGGGAAATACGTCACTTGTGAGCAAAGATATATTTGCAAAGCAAAGATTCTTAAATATGCTGTAGTAAAACAAAATACAGTGTTACTTTCCATTGGTGTAATGCATCAATTCCATTTCATAAATCTGTGTTAGTTTTTTTCATTTCCAAGTCACATTTTCAAATTTGTGAATAAATTTCCAAAGGCACATTCACGTATAACAATCGGCATAGACGAAATAAAATGACCCAAAAAAATAGAATGAGCTATTGTTATAAATCTAACCCAATGTTATTTTCAGTTTGTTAAATTAACAATCATTTATTTAAAATATATTTTATAAAATTTTCTGCTCTTTCGTCTTACACATTGTTAACAGGTACTCGAAGCAATTTCTTAAGTTCATGTAACATTTTTCTATCTAGCGTCGTTACTGAGAAGTTCTGATTTCCTGTGAAAGCAACGAAATATTTAAGCAAACATCAAACCATGTTTTACGTAAATTAACACAGATGAACCTCGTCTTTTTCAAAATTCACAAGAACATTTTTCCATAATTTACTAAGTTAAGTCCTTCTCGTTAGGATTAATGGCGGTCCTGTTTTCTTTAAGAGTCACGCGCGGCGTCTGAGCCACATCTGCGGACGATAGACGGCCCGGAAGACGATGAACCAGCGGCCGTCATTGTCGATGTAGAAGACGTCATTGAGGAAACAGCAGCTCCTCTGCCTGTCACTCCGGTGGTCTACAGCCAGACACCGGTTTACTGCTACGCTCCCGAAGAAGTTACAAGGCTTATCGATTCTAGTGGCAGGTTAATAAATTCATATATCCCAAATAATTCTAAGTAACAGTGAACACAACTTACTCAAAACAATGTATAAACATAATGGGGAATTTCAAAGCCTTCGGATATGCAATGTATGTTAAAATTGTAGCGTAATTTATATTAAATTTATAAATTGTGTTTATAATTATAGTAATATTTGTTCAATAAGTAACTGTCCATAACGATGTCTACCAACTTATCAATAAGGAAAGCACTCAGAATTTCCACATGCATTTGGAAATAAACATAAATTTAAAATGTGGTTTAGATGAATTAGTTGTGAGGATCGTGTACAACTTCGAGCTTTTGTATTAGCGGTGCTGAACATTCGGATTCTGCTGCCAGAGATTTAGCAAGGTGAAGTGACTGCACTTCTATTCCAGTGACAGTGAACGCGACAGTTCACAGCTGGTGCACCGGAATGACTCGGTTCGAACTGAATCAAGTTACAAGTTACTTGAGGAGAACATGAGCCTACTCAACAAGCTGAAACTCAAGGAGGACATCTGCAGGTAAATTTGCATACCAGTACATCAGCTGAGGCGTACTGAAAGGTCTCCTGCTTCGTACTTTTGAATTCCACAGTTACAATCTCATTCAGAAACCCAATTATCCCTACACCAACTTTGTCGTTTTCATCCCAAAATTCATCTTAAAGTAGACCACGTCAATTCGTTGAATGTTTTTCTGCATTAGCACTGCAGATCTGAGGTCGCAGCCAGGGAACCATTAACATCCAACGCGACAACACAATAGAACAGATTAAAATGCGTTTTATAAAGCAAAGGCTAGAATATCCGATTTAGTTAGAGGTAGATTAATTTCAGTAGATCAAAACGAACTTAATAACATTTTATATCGCACAACAAATGTGGATAAATGAGACTTTATTCAATATCTTTTCTTGTTTCTCTGAAATAGTCCTTTTATATCGCACAACAAATGTGGATAAGTGAGACTTTATTCAATATATTTCCTTGTTTCTCTGAAATAGTCTATTCTAGCATATTTTTCGTAGAACACAAATTCGGGACTTGAACCCAGATAGCAAGAGATATGGTTAAGGTTTAAATTTCCTGCATTGCACGTCCATACGTAATTTTTAACAGTCGAATTACAGTTTCTAGACCACATCTTGGAAAGGGGTAATACAAGTAAGGTAAATATTCTCCTGGTACCTATTAAGAACCACGTCATAAAGGCGTGTGAATTAATAGAGGTATAGTTTCATTTTTTCTGACCTCGGCACTAGATAGAAGTGAGTGGAGAGCCTCACGCTGCAGTCGCTTTTACCCTGGGGAAAGGGACTCCTTTAAATAGTTGATAGAGGACTAAGAGAAATATAATCACGGTAAGTGACTTACGAAAAACAAATAAATGTAACAACAGTTTTAACTAAAAAAAAACTTGTTTTTGCCATGTTTAAACCTCGTATAAACTAATAGTAATGGCCGGATAAAAGCATGAATTTCTGAGTTTGAAATTAAATATTCGCTATTATACATCATGGAAACTTGACAGTGGTAAAGTGTTAATCTAGCGTTTTACATTCTATTGTTCTTATGTTCCAGAAAATTAGGAAACGAGATTGAAACCTTGGAAGAAAAGATTGACGACGTTGCGAAGACTCATAAACGGGAATTACGTAAGTATTATGCATTGCTGCCAAAGGATATTTAAAGAAAGTGTCCATAAAAAGTATATTCCAGACTCATTTTTAAAATGTTGGACTATAGCAATGTGGCAAAGAACCTCTGCTTCGTATTCGGGTGGTTCCACTTTCCCGGAGGGCCTTGAGGTTTCCCGTTTTCCTTCCTCATTCCAAGAAAAATTCCGGGATAATGCCTTGAAAGTGCCAGGGTCAGGTCTGTGTACACACATATTTTCTTGTTCATTACAAATAAATCATATTATAATTCAAAGTTATAATGTGAGATACTGACAGCTTCTTTAAGAAAACCGCAAATGAATGTAATAGCGAGTAACACAAAACCATTATTGCAAAGGCAACACGTCCCTTGAAGATGGCTGTCTTCTGAGCTATAACCCTGTTGATGGAGGCAACAAGAACCTCTGAAACGTTGGTATTAAACGTGTACCATGCTACAAGGCGCTGCAATCCAGAAGACAGCCAACCATCTTCGTACTCACCGCCGTGAGAACTTCAAAACCTATTAACATTTCTTTTCTTTATATTTTCTTACAGAAAGGCTGATACATGAGGAAACTGATCTGCATATCCACCAAAGTGAAGGTAATAATAATAATAACTAAAATTAACTCCATGGAGCACAGTCCTCCTTGAGACGCTGACAGTCGTTGTTGTCCGACGCCCTATGTAGCATACTCTGGTTTCGTTTACGGTGAGGAGTTGTTTGTTAGACCCCGGCCCAACACCAAGCATTAAGTCACACGTGGTGACAGGTATTTCTGGAGGGCTCTGATGAGATTAACTTATTCTCAAAATCTATGTATAATTATTGTAATTTTCTCCATTCTCTTTCTTAAATGGTTGTCATTCTACTGCTGTAACCAATGTATTACTTTTTTTTCTTTCTGAATATCGACTTCCGGGAGAACAGAACTCAGTGAATCACGGATTATTTTTTTCATGAGACGCTGTGACATTACATTTTTGATACGATGAGAAACACTGTACTCAATGGAGTAACTAATGTGCGTGTGTGTGTGTGTGTCACATCAGGAGAACAAGTGGCAGCTAAGGAGGTGGGAGGCCCTCAGGAGGAACTGGTGGCAGAGTTGAGGGCCCGAATACGGGAGCTAGAGCAGCGCCAGGAGTGGCTCCTGCGAGAAGGGGAAACACTACAGGTGGGCGACTCTGATATAACCCTATGAAATCCAATGACTAACTTTTGTAGCCATAACCAAATTTCATTCTTCAACGTTATATCAAATCGTATACCGTTGCAATGAGAACAGTGGAGCTCGGGCAAGCCAGAAATGTTTCTGATGCGACGACTTTGCCGTATTGATTAAACTGATTTCTGGAGTGACGTGTAAGTAACGTCTGTGGAAATTTTTGCTTTGTATACAGCAATTTTTTTACATATTACGCAGTGCAAGAAAAGTATCGAGAACGCAAAAAAAAAACAACTTTATGCGAAAATATAGCCCAAAAAGTATGTTTTAAAAATAATCTCGTATTTCTGCATCGCCTGAACATAAAAATTTAATTTTATCATACGTTTATCCAAAAATATTTATTGAACATTATATATTCACAGAGAACACAGATATTATGGATGGTATATAAACCGAATGTTAATACAAATATTTGCAGCTAGTAAGATTTTCTTTTTAATCACAAGTGCAACTGATCTAAGCAGGTATGTGTAATGAATTGGAAATTGTTTATTAAAAAAAAGATCCCCAGAAGCTAAAGTTAGGAAAAGACTTATTTGTTACTTACTTAACATTTGAGAAGATCTACATTCATATGAATTATATTTAAATATCCCTTATCTATCTCGAAGAACACAAAATATGTCTCTACGCCAAATATAAAATTGATTAACGCTGTTTAGGGAAATAATATTATCAGAATGATATAAAAATCACAAATACACTCTTTTAGCAATTACAAAGTTTCCAAATATTCAATTAGGTTTTACATACAATTTATTACTATGGAACAAAAACTCATGCTTCTCTCAGATATTAATATGAATTTTCGTGTATAAATATATAAAATATGGTACGTTAAAGACCTGCTCACTAGAATAAATTATTGGTACAGTAGATTTCTCTTCCCGTGGATGTGCATACTTACAAATCCGGAAGTTTTAAAAGAAGTCAACGTCCTGACATGTTTTCTTGAATCACAGATCTGGAAATAACGTCTACTTCTGTTCAAAGACTGACAAAATGCCCAAGTTATTTTCGGTCGCATTTCGTTTGTTATTTCTCTTTGTGTAGGCTACTAGTTACAGACAAACCGTGAGTGAGTGGGCATTTGTTTGTTTATATTAACAGTAATGGGGAAAAAGTGCGACAGTACAGTACGGCCCAACTTAACACAGAATATTTCGCGTCTAAGCACAGTCCCAGATCGGGTCAGATAGCTTACTTGCCACCCGAACCAGCCTTCACTTTGGTCTACGCGTTCGTGTTCAAAGTTCTGTTTTTTCTGTCTCCTGCAAATGTCAATGCCCCAACCTCCAAATTCTCCTTAAACCTCTCCCATTTTCACACGTTTCACTTTCTCTTCGTTCATTCCAGCTCCTTTCTTTCTTTCTTTCTTTCGAGTTCCTTCCAAATCTTATTAATTTCTTCTACGTTTTTGTGAGATTTCAGGTTCTCACGGCAGCTGTTAAAATAATTATCATCTTATGGGACGTTGCACCGAGCAGTCTCGTAGAAATTAACTAACGTTTCACAGGGTGCTTACTGCCTCCATCATCAGAGCGTGAATTTTGAATTTTACTCCAAAGAGTACACCTTACTAATACCGCCTGTTATTATAATTGTAATTGTTGTTGTTATTGTTTCTGTAGGACTCCTTCGCTCATCATTCAGAGCAACAGGCAGCGTTGGCCCAGAACTTGGTGGGTAAGATGAAACAACTTCAGGAGGCCAACATAAATATGGCGTCTTGTGATGAAAGCGAAGCAATTCACCTCAGCCCTAGTACTTACATAGGCCAACAAGTGGATGCTATGAACCTGGTCCAAGATCTTACAACTCAGCTTTTGAACCTGGTTTGTGGCTACGCATTCATGAATGAAAAACATTTATTCTATAGGACCTCATATTATAAGACAGATATCATATCGTAAATAGAGCTGCGTCGTATGTGAGTATGTACAATGGAGCTTTTATCTACGTCACATTAGTCACATGTAGGCTTTCAAAATATGGATTAAGACCTAGAGACGGAAACTACAATAGGACCAGAAATACAAAAATGTAACGAAGTAAGGTTTATTGGAATAACACAGCCAAATTAATACAAATGTCATGAGGCATAAAAATTATCATTTTTTGTCAATGAGCATAATTTTCCCACCTGATTTAAGAGGGAAAGAATTTAAAGCTAGATTATTTCTTATGGTCTAGTATGAACGCACAAAGTCAATTACATGATATAAACTATAAAATGAAGGTAAACAGAAATGTGTGAAATGGCGGTCGTAGCATGGAGGTCCTAAGGAATACCACCCACAATCTGAGTAAAAAAGTCGATTCCTTGCCAGGATTATAAATGGGCACGTCCTAAATTCAACTCGAATTAAGGATGTAATTAAATATTTTAAGGTCTGTATTACTGTGTACTAAGAACGGAATCTGGGTTAATTTCTATCGACCAAACCGTTCGTTAACAATGTTTTATTTTACATAAGATAAAAGACATAAAATGACAGCCGAGATGTTGCGAATTTAGACGGAAGTGAATCTAAATCAGGTATAGGAATGCGTTACCATCACGATTAAGAATGTGACAAAGACATGCGAAGATATTTAAACAGTTAGCAGGTATGTAGGGCAATCCAAACTTTTCTGGGGTCGATCTGAGAGGGAAACCAAAATCATATTCATATCAAAAATTAAATTCTAGTTGGTTCTACACTGGCTTAAACAGGTCGAAACAGTGCACTAGGATCAACTATAATGGAATGTAAGCCATATAAATTTGCACTAATTTAATAAATTTTGTACGACTGGCTAAAAAATAAAGGTATTTATAAATATTCAGATTTGCTTTTGACGTTCATTGACTCGACATTATAGTGTGTATTCATCACATTACATTACGTTACATCACGATTTATTCATAAGGAACATACAAGAGTTAAACTTATAATTCTTTTACATTCATCGTAGACACATACGATAAATATTTAATCATTTACTCCTAATATCAGTGTACATGTTGATTGGCGTTAATTAGGGAATACTTAAAAAATGTCGTTGCTCACTTAAGCTTAGCGCCGTCATAAGATACGTATATTTGAACACTTCCTTCCCCCACCAATTTCTCGATAGGTTATGAACTCTGGTGATGGCGCACGTGTATCACTCATATGGCGGTATCAAACATAATCTTCGCGAAACAAGTAACCAACTGTTAACGAGATGATCCAGAAGTTTACGTTAACGCTCCTAATGTAAACAGATGAAACTGCGATGTCTAGAAAATCGCCAGATCCTCAATAACTTCAAAGAAAATTGCCTAGCTTATATTATACCGGAAATTATTTAACAGAAATAGGTGTTACATCTGGCAGAAAGCGTAAATTGTCTGAATTTCAAATTATAAACTAAATTATTTTCGGGACTGTAGAAACTATCTCATTGCATTGAAGGGGTGGCATAGTTTTAATACGTGCTGTTCACATTCGGAAAACATCCGCTTTGAAACCAATTTATTTGCCAGTTCTCATAACATATTCCGTATCTTTCTTCAGACCCGCCAGGGGAATTTTAGATGGTGGATGGTGGATGATAGGATGATTATGTATGATGAGGTGGGAGAGGGGTAATCTACTGAGATATAACTGGGAGTATTGATGAAAACTACAAGAAGAAAATGTCGGAATAAACAGTTTGATGTTAGAATTCGAACCTAGAAGCTTGTGAATACAAGTCAGAAATTTTGCCTCCATTACAAAATTCTCTGTTGATGAATACACATATTAGCAGAAAGATAAGTAGACAGACGATCAGATAGGGTACACCCATAAGGGATTGTTTCTTGAGTGACTGAAAGACAGATTAAAAAGTTACTGTGCAATGATCATGCTATTTACAAGAACATTTTCCTCCTTGAGTGACACAAATATCAATATTTTGGTTCTCTGCAGGCTGAAAAACTGGAAGTGGCTATTGCTCAAAGAAGCAACGAAGTTCACAACCTGCGCCTGGAGTTGCAGGATCGTCGACACGTGCGGCACAAACTCCGGTCGGGACATCATTGGTTCTCCGGGGAGGGCATGTCCGTCTCCATGGGGTCACTGGCGGTAAGTGCTACCAGCCTCTTGCACTTCAAATTGCTCGTATTAAGTGAAATGTTACGAAATTGTTTCTGAATAAAACCCGGAAGATGAACGTCTGACTAAAAGGTATTCTTGTACCAAAGAACCGCACCATGAAAGCGTGTGTGTTCCTACGCCTGGAACTATATGAACGATTAGATTTGTTCTCTGACTGCGTTTACAATTCACTAAAAAGACAGCTACCAGCTGGATCAAAGGGTAGATGAGGTCACAGAAGGATTCTGATAGCTCAGACACGAACATTCCTGCAAGAACAAAATTCGAACGTCCAGTTCGTTATGTCATTTAAATCCTTTAAGTCTCTAAAGAAGAAGAAAGGAAGAAATAGAATAAAGACTGGGGTGATGTACTCCAGTTAAGGTAAATATTTTTTCTTAGCTGTGCATGGTTTTTTGGCTGTTGGAAAAAGTTATTTAAAATAATTGCTAAATTAAATTATTTTATTACACTATTAGTTACTCTGTGTACTTGTATTTAAAATATTTATTTTCAAATGATGTAGGCTAGATCAATATAAATTATTTATAAAGTTCAACGACATCTTACAGCTTAAAAAGCGTCAAGAATACTGCAACCTTTATCAATTACCTAAAGGACTGTGTTTATAACCATTGCATGTGAAAGCTACAAAAGCATTCTGCCCACAGTAAAGTAATATATGCGAGATATCGTGTTCTAGGTAGAGAGTAGATATATTTAATTTCCAATCCTTGGCTTAAGAGGAAACTCGATGTATTGACGACACATTTGGTTTTATAATTTTTGTTCCTTTAGATTGACAACATTTCAGAGTTGCTGTCAAACTTATATAAGGACAGAAAGACATGAAAATCGAAACCGCTCAATTTACTGGACTTTCTAACGTATGTGCACGTGTTTTCTTCCAAATCAGGAACCGGAAGTTGGCTTAGAGGGCGAAGGGACGTACGCCATATTGCCCCGACAGAGTTCCGAAGAACTTACGCAGCTACCGTCTCTCCTTACCAACAAGGTGCTGGAACTCAAGGAGGGGCTGAACTACCTACGCGCAGCTTCGGGTGCGTCTTAGAATAATATATTCGTGTTCTGTTGTCCGCCATTACTAGTGAACGTTTCTACTAATGTGGATGGCAACGAAGCCATCTGGCGAAACAGTAACGGTTGAAATCAAATAAATTGGACACCACTTGAAGAGTTCGATTTTATGATTTTATGACTGAAAAAAATTTGCAAATTATCACATTTTACAATGTGATTTCAGGATGATAAACACATTTAAATCATACACAATGAAAAAGACGTGAGAGGTGAAAATTCAACTCGGAAATATTTATGGTTTAGGGAAAAAAATAGGACAGAGAAGGATTTATATTTCGTCATTCTGTGATCAAAAACTGTTTATTCTAATACGCGGAACAATTTCACTTATATTAATAATATTAATGAATAATGTACGTATTAATGTGTCTGTACTTTTTTGTGCTAGGAGTATCAGCACCCAATCAACAAATAAGCAGATACCCTGCATGGGAACAAGAAGCAGATGGTTCAGAAGCCACCGCAACATTTGTGTTCAAGTGTTATAATAAAACTGACCAAAATGCAGATACCGGACAAGATACCAGATGTGATTCGCCTGCTGTAGAGCAAATAGATTCTGAAGGCAACACTTCACCAATAACGTGCGTTACAATAACCCCTGCATTCCGGAAGAAGAAAAATGGTGTCTTAGATGGTCAGACAAAAGACAGTACAAAGGAAGATGAAAAATGGCTGAATGTCGACACCAAATCAACTGTTAATATCAACACAGGCGATGGGTCACTTGGGGAGGAAATCTCTACTGTCAACAGAGAGAATTATTGTTTCGCTGTCTCTTCAGCTTCTACCACATCTTCAGTGTGTGATGACGAGGAAGGTGAGGATGTTCACGCCAATGATGTAGACGCTCAGAAAGTTCAAGCAGTCACAGCAATGTCAGCAAGTGAGGAAAATGCTAACAGGAAAAGTGGTGTAAGCGATGAAAGTGAGAACGAAAGTAGTGATGACGAGGCTAAAGAAGATGACTACGAGGAGGAGGACACAAAGACGATAATAAAATGTGAAAGTGATGTGTCGATACACAAGAACAGCATTTACAGTGGACTGGATGATAATGAGAATCATAATTACAAGGGTTTGCTTGAAGATTCTTTCCGTGGGTACTATGAAACTGAAGTGTACACAGCCAAGGGTGCTTCCAGCAATGCTGGAAGACAAAGGAAGATACTTAAAACAAGGCGAATATCAGACACACATATTGGGTACAAGCGAGACGTTGATACTAAATTCATTCCTCAAGAGACGTTTCAATTTGGATGCGAAGATTCAAATTATAATGTAGAAAATGGAAAAAGTGTAACAAATAGTACGACAGAAACATGTCAAACCGTTTCGGCTTCTTCTGCGGAGATTTCATGTCAGAAGGACCGAAAAAAAGATTCTGCAAATCAAGAGCATGAGAGTGAACATAGAGAATGTAAGTCTGGAGTTACTGATGCTTACATCACGGAAAATACTTTCCATGGAAACAGAGACGTTTACTCTACAGGTAGAGATGAGACATTAGCCTCTGCTGAGAACGGAGCCTATAGAACTAATTATTATTCGCAGAATGTGGCAGAAACTTTCTCCACGCCAACTCCTGACAATGTTTTCGTAAAAACTACACGCAAAATATTCTCTCCCGTTCGACGAGACAGTAGAGGGAAAGCTTCTTCTGTCATAAGTTATATTGTCGGGGAAACATGTGGAGTGGACGCATCACAAAGTCTTCAAGATGGCGAGCGGTGTGTGCCAGTAACATCTCCGGTCATCAGCGTTCTCAGAAGACAGCAGAGTGGCAATACTTCTAGTGAGATGAATTCTGTCATCGACAGCAAGGGAAAGACGGGGAGAAACGGGTCACCGCCATCTTGGATGTTCACACGAAATAGATCACAGTCATCTTCACCGTCTTTAATGAGAAGATCTGTGGACAAGTGTTTCAGTGAAGTAATCAGTATTTCAGATCAAAATTCAGCAGTAAAGTCGCAAAATACACTGTTAGATAAAAATTTTCAAGGTGAATTAAATGTAGCCACAACAGCGAACAGAAATTGTGAATCGGACAGGAATAAAGAAATTGAATTCAAATCAAAATCCGAGCAATATAACTTCACAAATAAAGACTGTGAAGATGAAATTATAAAGCCAGAGAAGCAGACGAATATAAAAAGTGAGGCTGATTCAAGAAGGGAGATTTTGGCGGAAAAGAACAAAACTGACAAGTGCGATAATTCAGTGGCTTCTTCCCGTTCAGCTATTACGTCGTCAGGTTTCCCTCCCTTGCCACAATCTCCGATACCAGGTAGACGCGATCACTTTAGGTTGGCGACCAAGGAAACTGCGCCTGTTTCCCTCCCTTGCCACAATCTCCGATCCCAGGTAGACGCGATCACTATAGGTTGACGACCAAGGAAACTGCGCCAAGCATTCGTATGATGATAGCGAAATATAACCAGAAACTTACAGAACAACAGGAAGGCGCTGGTGGCAGGTCTCCTGAAGTCAGTGGCAGCGGGTCGGCGTCACCAGTGGCGTGGAGGTCACCGGTCGCGGAACGCCGTGTTCGGGCACAGATGGAAAAATACCAAGAAGAAGTACAGCGTGTATTACAGAAAGGTGGCAGGAAGATAGCGGCACGTCTCGGGGGGAACAAAGTTCAGAAATCAGCCAGCGATGGGATCATCAGATCACAAGAAACTCCGTTGATTTTGAAGTCCGAAGCTGAACCAAACAAAGACTCTGTAACTAGTAAAGCAAATTCATTACCAAACAGTAGGCCTATACTGAAATCTACTAGTGCGGGTTCTATCAAAGCGATGTCTCTTCTTCCGGTAAATGTGAGTGAAAACAAAACTGCCGAGAATGTAGAAACTGTCAGGGCTGCAGCTAAACCACCCGCGCCACGAGTGAATATTTCACCAAGTCCATCTAGTCCGTCCTCGCCAGAGCTTGGACTGCATCACAGCAGTCCACCTCCATCACGCCTGCGCGCTCTAAGGTTACAAAGGGCAAAGGAAGAATTCCTCACCCGGGGACCAGGAGGTCGTAGTTGGACAAGCGACGGAGGAACACCATCAACTGACACGCTCAGCGCCTCTGTGTCGCCAGAACCATTCTGGGAACAAGAAGCCAGTGGTGGAAATCTAAAGGACGTAATCAGACCAGGACTTCGAATGAGAAAAACTGATAGCGAAATTCGTAGTCGGTTAAGTCAAATCAGTGTGGAAAGTGAATCCAGCTACGACGGCTCCGTTGTTCTAGCTGGAGGATCGGGGATGGACAGTGGTACCGTTAGTGATGAAGGCATGATACTGGTTAAGTCAGCGAGCGCAGGTATGATTAATGTTGATCCGAACACTTACAGAAAATTTCACGAAGAGAGAGGAACAGTTGATCAATACCCAAACACGTCCGACAGCCAAGATGTTAAAACAAAGTCACAAGCCTGTGGCAGGTTCGGAATTTCGAGCATTACTTCTCGGTTTAGGAAAGTAAAGATGAGAAGAAGCAAAGGGAGGGAAGGGGGGAAGATGAACACCGTATCTATGCTGTGCCGACAAAGTCTTGTGGTGGATCTTAATCTGAGCAAGTGTGGGTCCACAGAGGTGCCAGGACCGTCCACAAGCATGAGCTGCCCGTCCTCTCCGGTGCTACAGCGACCATCGTCAGGAGATAAGTCTGAGTCGGATACGTCTAGCGGACCGACAAGCTGGATCCTGAACCCGGCCCGAAAAATATTTAAACCGAAATAACTGAGGTATATCCATGGAGCTTCAATTAAGACAGGAGACGACGACTTGTTGCATTTTCATTTGCTTAAATAAATTATTTCGTGTCTAGACTAGGCGAATCATTCAACACATTAGTCCCAGAAGATAATATAACATTCTAAGCTTATATGTGAGTCTATAATTATTAGTCAACGTTTTGGGGTACATTTAAAATGAAATGGAAAATAATATATTTTTCTACATGAGTGTTTGTTTGCAGTCACTTTTATAAGAAAAGTACCTCTTTGTTTTAGGAACTTCTCTGTTACGCCAGGGCCTGATGTATCTAGTCCACTAAAATTTCTAATCAACATTTTATAGCCAACTTAAATGAAGCTCATTATGTCATTGCCAGTGTGTTCACGGTAGTAAATAATATTCTGAACTTAGTTCGACAAATTGCATTTACCTTCTCATCCAGTGAGAATAACTGTGTGTTTGTTTATAATGTTATGTAAATTTGCTCTTGAAGTTTATAAATACAAATTTCGTTCTTCGGCCGAACTTATTTATGAGATACTTTGAGAAAAAGCTGGACCTTCCCTTACATTGAGGCAATTTATCTAATATTGTCTTGTAATAATGTTATTTTATACATCGTATATATTTCCAGCATATACAGGATGATTCAAAAAGGACTTTACAACTTTGAATGTGTATAGGAATTTATTCAGAAGGCTTACAGAATCGGTTGAGGTGTCATTTTGTAGAAAATTAAATCAAGTTTTACCTCAAATAGTCATTTTGGTTCGATGTGATTGCCATTCGTGATCCTGCAGACATCCCACCTGAAATCAATTTATTGCCAAACACGATCCAGCATATCCGGTGTCACTTCTGCAACTGCGGCGGTGATTCGAGCTTTGAGCTCAGTAAGATTGGCAGGTAAGGGTGGAACATACACACGATCTTTAATGAAACCCCATAAGGAAAAGTCGAGAGGTGTCAAATCTGGAGAACGAGGTGGCCATGCTATCGACCCTGTTCGACCAATCCACCGACCTGGGAAACGGTTATTGAGGAAATCCCGGACTTCTGTCTTTGCTAAGGACACAAAACACATTAACCTTTTGGCTGTCACGAACGTGTTCCACAACAGCACTAGAAACACGCGGGCGACCTAGAGATTTGTCATGGCGAGCAGAACAACCAGTCTCAACAAAATTCTTGTGCCAAGAGTAAATTGTAGGTCTACTGGGAGGATCCTTGCCGTACTGGGTGCGAAAATTTCGTTGAACCATTGTCGCAGATTTCGTTTCTTCAAACCACAGCACACAGCGAGCGCGCTCCGCACCTGTGAAAGTAGCCATTTTCAAATGCACTGCCGCTTGTGCTCGCGGTGACGGAATTCGGTACTACAGCACAACGTGAGTCAAACTTTATTTGTTTTGCTACAAAATGACACCTGAACCGATTCTGTAAGCTTTCTGATTAAATTTCTATACACTTTCAAAGTTGTAAAGTCCTTTTTGAATCACCTGGTATTTTAAACAGAACAACGTGTGGACCTATATGACTGGTAACATTTATGAAATATATTTTCTAGGGGAACAGCTTCTTTTTGAATAATCCCTATTTAATAATCCAGGTTTATAATAAATTTAGGAACGTAATTAAAAAATCGTTGTCAGGTTACACGTTATTCGATTCAGTAAAAAATGGAAGTTCCAGATATTATTAGGATGACCAGTAGAAATTAAACTTTAGAGGAGGTTTCTTAAAACTGCGTAATCAGAATCAGAAGAGGATAAAAATAGTTGGGAAACGAAATAAAAATAAGGGAGGTTCTTGTTTGTGGATATCAGATATTAGGCTCGCTTAACACACCAATTAATTCTCTTAGACAGGAGATCTGAATTAACATCTCTTTCCTATAATTCACCTAAGTTGCAAATTCCTATGTTCGTACTGTCAATTAAAGTGAAAGCTTCGATTCGAGATTAAGCTAACTAAATAGCAGGGCCTCTAATTTAATATGAAAGGGTTCTAGGCAATTTTGAACACTTTTCTCACGCGTTCCGGATTACAATTTACTTGAGTTTAAGGTGGAGGCCCCAGACCAGGGAAAGAAGTTGTTTCCTACCTGCTTATTACTCTGTCTCCCGACTTGACACTAATGGTGACGTCACAGCCCTATCTTGACAGGTGTCTTGCTTGGGAGCCCACGTGTGGGAGGGCCAACATGCTTTTGATCTCTGCCGCTGGGGGTTGCTGTGGGACCTGTGAAAAGTAAAACCTTAGAGCTCATTTATGTGCATATAGGCTAATAGTATTACTGCCTAGAAATCTGCCATTATTTTAAGTTGCTTTACGTAGGCCTATAGCCTGTCACAACACAGGCCTACCGTCTAAACATGGTGTAGTAGCTCTGGCTGGCTTTTGCTTCGGTTCAGAATAGTATATTTTACTGTCATTTCGTACGGCCTACTTTGAAAGCGTCTGCAAAATAATATAGGTTAGTGCTTATTACGTTCCGAATGTTTTTTATCCCGTCAGGCAGCTTGTCCTTCGGGCAAAGGATTTTGGTTGGATGGTTCTCTGGGGTTTGAACCCAGAGGGGGTGGGATCGCTTCGGCTGAAGGCCTCTGCGACTTGGCGGAGAAATCACTTCAGCTGAAGGCCTCCGTGATTGGGGGTTATTGCCCGTCGCGGTTTCACATAGCGTCGTAGACCTGTATATTCCTCTAGGCAGCAACCATGTTGGAACAACATACGGTTTTCAATCTTCTAAGAAAAGCTCACGCGTCTGAAGGTTACAATTTCATCGCTTGGGGCGGTTTACAGATAGGAATTCCAGAACTATTTTTAGTTCAAGTTGTCATTTCCTTCGTAGTTATTTACGTTGGATATAAATATCGGCGGCTTGCGATCTCTGTCGGCGGAAACAGCACCTCAGGAGAAGAAAGTTGAAGGTCTTCAAGAGGCAGTTGTTCACACTCCCGGTAGGTGGCACATGTTATCCTGATCGTGAGTTGCATGTTTCCTTTACATCATTGGAGAAGTGAGCTACTATCACTGTATATAATCTTTGCAGCACATTTTTAAAGGCAAACAGAAACAATTTTTTATTGCTCTGGGCGTGTTCCCTCACCCATTGGCTATTTTTTAAATGTTATCAAAAGCTATTCACGTATTGCCCAATGAAAAGCACAATGAAATCATATCTTTATAATGAATAAACTTCAGTCAGTCAAATTGGATCTGGATCTCAAATCTTCTTGCAGCCCCCGTTGAAAATAATTTCATTTGTAAACGGATGCAATTAACTTAATTTCACCCAGAGGGAATATAAAACTTACAGTGAACAAATGAAACCATAGTTCACATTACTGGTATTTCACAACTGGACATCTAGCGTGAATATAAAAAGGGTTAGCAAAGCAGTAATTCTTCTGCGTCTCTTTCACGACGTGCCCAGTCAGAATTATGGCCGGGTTAGGCTTTCCTGGATGAGTGGTTTTTGTTACTCCGTCTAGTCAAATGCCGGTACAGAACCGTCAAACAGGTAACGATCATTTTCTGACATGTTTCTCCCTATTTATAATTCACAATTAGGTTACCTTTATAATATCAACTGATACAGTGTCATGAAATAACCAAACACAAAGTATACAAATCAATGAATCATCGAGTATGATTGTAAGCTTTTATCTAAGGTATCTTTGTGGAAACATGGAAAAATTATAACATAATGAAAGTACAAGTGTTTTGTTTAATTAATTTGACACCAGTGGCTTGTAAGGTGATATTTTTATAAACATATCTACAAATTCTCTATTGATCATTTGCGTCTTTGTTTCTTGTACTGTAATGTGTGAAAAACTGTATAAAGTAAGAAACTGCATAGGTTTAAGTTGAGACTTGTCATCTTGTGAATGGTTTATCCCAGAAAAGAGTTTAGGAGAGTGAGAGACAGTTCGCAACATTTAAATCTGTGGGGATCTAAAAAAATTTACGTATTAATTAAAATCGTTTTCAGACTTCTGAAATCCTAAAATTCACCACATCAGATGTAATGGCTTTTAGTATTTATTGCGAGACTACGAATTAATAAAATTATAACAACATTTTTTAGGATTATTGACACATCTACGTGACATTGTGTGTATTTTAGTGCTACAAATATCTCATTTAAGTACTCACAACGAAGTTTTTGCTGTTTACTACATAAGTATTCTAAGACGAAGTGAAACACAAAATCCGCACTCTATAAAACACTTGTTTGCCAAACAGTACCACAAGGACAACGGGGCCAATTTATTAAACATCCCTTAGGGATATTGACTAGATCTGCAGGAAGCAACAAAACCTTCTCCATCCTTGTACAGGCTGTTTCTGAAGTAAGTAGTCCATTACAATTCTGAAAATTACGAAGATTGAGTGAAACATCTTGGTATTAATATCTTCGAAATGCGAACCAATCATGCAAAATGAATGTCATTTTCGTGTTTAGCAGCTCAAAATTAGTAAAAATTGGTTAGTTTCATTTCCGATATATTTTGGCTGTTGAACAGTGTTATTGGATACGAAAGAACAGCTGTAAGTAGAATTTTGAAATAGAAGTCAATGATTATAAATACGCAAATTCGTAGTAATGGTACTATAAATCCGACGCGTCACTGGTTCAATTAGTGACCACTTCTTCGCATAATAGGACTTAGTTGTCAGTAGTGGCAGGGGGGAGTACCACCCATAAAGTTTCCTATTCACGAATCAAGTTCTTACGTTCCCTATTGAAGCGTCAGTCCGGTTCCCGCCTAGGACTCAACGATGATATGTTTTGACAGCTGTGTTAAGAAACTAAACAATAACCACAGCACCAATTAGTTGTCCTGGCCCATGATTGGTCCAGCTCCACCCATTACACTTTCTTAAGAATTACGTTACTAAAAAATAACTCTCTAATCAAAATAATGATCTAAAAATCAGTTTGTAACTGAAGGGGTTTATTGAGCAATAACACTGCTCTTCAAACCGAGATTGAATGTCGGTTTATTTGGTTACATCTGCACGACAGAGATTTTTTATTCAGATTTCTATTCAATTATGGCAGATATACTTAGAACTGGGATAAACATAAATTTTATAGAAATTAACTCTATTTTTTTTAGACGACCACGTTCTAATGTCAAGATAGTGAACAAGTTACAAATTTATTGTAGGCCTGTGTTATCTCCAATTACTAAGGAATTTAATTGTCCCCTCTCCGCACGCAAAAAATATAGGCGACACGTTCCTCCGAAATGTTTTTAACCACGTAAAAGACAGCATGGCGTCTCTACCCAGAATACCCGAATGGACACATTCACCTCAGTGAAAACTTAAAATCTCAGATCATATAATAAAAATATCCGATTCTAGAACACCTACGAAGCCAATAAAAGATAATAGGGCGGTTAAAGTTTAAAATATTAAGTCAGGAATGTGCTGCTCTTTTGTTACAAGAGGTTCACATCAATAATTTTTCTTCTTTCCCAGTTTCGTTTAGGTGTTTGGAAATAGGA